TCAACTATAAAGCCCCAGTACTGAAGTCTCTCATAACTGTTTTAAAGGGTTATATAACTAGTTAAATTTAATTTATGGAAAGTTATATACTTATATGAATTATTAAAGAGAATTTTTTTTAGCGATTAGTTCGAAAGTTGTACAAACCGCACTGACGGGCGAATCAAGGTTTTTCGTTACCATAAATTCTAGATCTAAAGTTATTTAAAGAATAATATACAATCTAAAGTTAGGAAGCTAGAGTAATATTAATTTTATTAGAATATTATTTGTGTTTCATAATTTAATTTTAAAATAATAACTCGGATGTCTAACAATTGTTAATGCTTTTTCTTATCGTGTCACGATGACTAATAGAATCGAATTATCCAAATAAAATTTGGCACAGTGACATCAGTACTTTCACGCCATATACGAAACTGATTGACTTTAAACCGAAAAAACTTAGACCGACAAAAAACTCGTGCTAAATAGAATCATAACCTACATTCCTTTTGGTGGCAGCGAGCACCTAGCGACTTATTACTATAGAATGTGAATTTTAAACAGTGCCAGCGTAGGGCCATTATTCGTGTATTTTCTCTTTGTCGGTCATTGTGGCTGGCATCGCAGCTCAGCTATATTCTTATATTGATATTCAGACGGCAACTTGTCGTGGAGTCCACACTCGCGGACCGTGTTCATTACACCGGAGACCAATAACCATCCTGCCATAAAACAATATTTATTCATTGTTTCGCCAACGTGAGCTTGAGAACGCCGCCTCTTTCCCAAAGGGAGTCATGTAATAATGTAGGCCAAATCTGACGTTGCAATAAAATGAACACGTGGTTTACGTCGTAACTTTTCTTGTGGACTATGTGTTCTATATAAAATATAACGTTTGGGAATACGATTCTATAATTAATGTCACGATATTTTTCACTTCATCATATTATCACGAACTACACGGTTTGATAGTTACATAATTGTAGTGCGCGAAAACTTCTATTGTTGATAAAACATCTTCAATATGGCATGAAATCAAAGTCACGTCACGAAATGACGATATGGCAAGTGAAACAGAAACGGTTTATGAGGTTTTTTGCAAGATTTTTGTGGTCCGATAATAACGGTTCCAGCTCCTACAGCGATGGCGACCGCAGATCAGCTACGCGATGCACTCACGCGCCGCGGGTCAACGCAGACGCCGAATGCTGCTCTGCATGTGTTTAGTATAAGGTATTCATTTACTACAAGTATTATTTACATATAATTCATTGGGTGATAGAATTAATAGTTGGTAATAATCCAAACGAACAAGTACTTGATACTCCGTGATTCAGAATTCTTTACAATTTACAGTGCCTCACCTAACTCAAAAAGACATTAAGCGACAGCGGATTTCACCCCATTGTGGGAAACCTATAAACCTATAGCTGGAGAGGAATGCGAGTAAATATTAAATATGAATGACGACACATGTGTGCGAAGTGCGGCAGGTTACTGTGGTCAACGACACCTGCGAGGCCCAGATTCAGTTCCCTATAACTTGCCATTTTCTCAGGAAGCCGACGGCGCGTGGCCGAGTGCTGCTGCCCCGGCGCAGGCCGAGCGCATTCTGTCACGCCGGGACTGCGCGCGCGCATATTGAAGCGCGTCTACATTAATGCGAAGTCAGTGGAGAGGTTCCTAAGTTTCAGGGACGTTTAATTTTATAGCTATTGTTTATACATTGGATATGTCGCGGCATGTTCAATATAGCCATTATTCTACTGACTCATATTACTATCAGAACATGTCATAATGTGAGCTTTCATCGCAAACGTATCAAAAGCGCTTTGCTTATTTAGTCGAGGTTGTAGGAATGTTATATAATGTGTCTAGCATTGCAAAAAGCAAAGTAGATGTAGTTAAGAAAAAAACGTAATCTAGTAATTTAGCACCCGTCAACTAACCGTATTTCCGTGGTTTAAAGTGTGAAACGTTTTTAACAAAAGAATCGGATGCTTATTGTCCTTGTCCGTCATCATCAATGACTGTTGTATCGTAATTTAAGCAAAAGCTGAGTTAACAATATAATCAAGATAGTGCAAAAATTAGATGAACACCCAAACAAAACGTTTTCCTTGAGTGTTTTAGAGCGTATTATATATTTAACAGTGACGTGATGAGGACCTCTACAATAGTTTAAAACACGTTAAGATTTAATTGAATATCCAGTTAGTAAGTAAAAATATTGTATTGCATACTATCATTTAATAAACTGACATGCGATGGCAAAAAGCTTTACAAAGTTACAATTTATTCTACGAACCGACGCAAACGGCATTTGTGTTGCGTGAAGCCTTCACCCTGCACTTGACTGGCGCGCGCGCAGTCGAGCTTTGCGCAATCACCCCAGACGATTCGCACTCGACACGGTCAAGATCGTAAACGAATTGACATTCAACGTTTATACTAGTTTATAAAAAAAAAATATTGTCACATTATTTGGGTATAGTTTTTTCTTAAGAAAATTTGTTTTTTAACTACCTCTTAATGTTATATTATTTTTAGATAAGTAGTACCTTTATAGTTATTCATGGATGTTATTATGGAAATGTCATGAATATAAATAGAATTATAAGTATTGAATTTGAATATGTAAGCTGGTCATTAGTATTTTATTTATTTATTTAGAAACCAATAGTTACAACATGGTAGTAACACAAGTATAAGATTTGGTAGCAAATCTAATAACAGGTTTCTTATTTAATACTTAAACGTAACTCGCGTAACGGACAGTACTCGTACATAAAAAGATGCATAAATATTTTTATGTACTGTAAAATTCACATTGAATAATTTAATTATATATTTTCCTTTAAGTGTCATATGATAGTCATATGCTACTATGAATGCGATTTCATCTGAAATAATAATAATTATATTATGCCTAAGAAACATTCTCCTGGTATTTAGACATTCAGCTAGAGCATATAATACAACAATGAATGTCTCTTTAATGAATTAATCAGATCATCATTATAGAAGAGTATAAAATTAGGCACAGTAAAAGCTGATTTGTAGGTGATACAAGTTACAGTAAAAAACAGATCGTCTTATGTAACTGTTTTTTCTTAAGCAACTTACTACCTCTTTATGATTTTATTAAGATCTATAAAATTATTTTAAAATTGTACTACTATTGTTTTATAATTAATTAATTATAGAAAAACATACACACTATATTTTAAAGAAAAAAATCGTTAAGCTTTTTACCTATTATAATGATATTGATTTTTTCAACGAAACAACTAAATTAAATGAAAAATAAATCTATTTTATTAGAATATCGATATATTTTAGGAGTGCTAATAAATAAGATGGTCAATGCAGCCTTATTTTTTGTAATATAATGCAAAGCATGGAAATAAGGATGATCGTCAATGCTAAATGACTTATTGCATGCTTAATTATTCAACTAAATTGACTTTGCTTATTTATTTCCACATATTTTAAAAGACAGAAAATATAAAGTACGTTGATAAAGACAAATGACGATTTTAAAAATCATTCGCTTGATTAGATTGGAGAGATAAAATGCAAAAAAAAATATTGTTTACAGAAATATTGGATCACAGTTTTTTTTTTGAAATTCAGTAGATTGTATACTTAGTTAATTAAGACTATTTTTTAATGGTAGTAATTCTTATATAAGAAATTAACACTTTTAATTTGTTACTGATTTATAAAATAAATTATTGTTTTTTTTTTTGCTGAATATATTATTCATTGTATAATAAGAAAAATCAATTCAGATTTGTGTGATATTTGATATAATGCATGTGTGAGATTCGATTTCAATCTATTTTGTAAGTACAATCACAAATTATTACTAGTAGCTACTGTGAAGTATCGGATCCGCCACGGACCGCGACGGCACGCGGCTGAGCCGATGCATTCACGCGAACCGCACTAATAAGTTATTTCTATAGGATCAATAATATTATTATCATATAAATATGTGACATATCAAATTTAATCTTAAATTTAACATGAAATAATATTTAGGATTAATGAAACCTCAACCACTTTTATGTAGAAATGACATTTTAAGATACATCTCATAAATAAACAAAATATGAATAATCTTTATTGAACATATATGAACTAATGGCGGTGTAAACGTTTAGTGACACAAAAGATACACCAAAAGTTATTTAACAGTTAAATCCACGTTCGTGTAAAGTAATTTATTTTCAGAGTCTGCTAACCAATTCTATAGAAATCCAATTATATTTTTTTTACAATTGTAAGTGCCAGTGGACAAACTCTAAACGTTATAGTACGCTATAAGAGCTGGATCCATTCAATTGAATTAACTAGTCGTGCACAATATTTTCTGATTGTATTTAGACTTTGATTTATTTAATAAAGAAACTCAACATAATAATCACTTAATTACATTTATTTTTAATCCTCATAATTTGAAAAGCATTTAACATTTTTTATTTCGTACGTCGGAAAACTCTAAGAAAAACTAATTAACTTAAAATGCTTTGGATGAAATTCTTTGAACATAAAATATTACTTTTTTTAAGTATATAAAAATATATTTCAAAAATTCATATAGTTCTAGTTTGATATATACTATAATAACCTCAACGTCTAAGCATCATCAAACGTATCTCGTTATGTCTAACTTATCTGCAACTGTAGCGCCGGAAAAGCTCGCCGACCGGCATTTTCAGACGCGCTCTTATTATTATCTCTGTGACTATTTGTACATAAACGTGACCATACTTTTGTATTAAGTTTTGCTTGTTATCTGTGTAACTTATTTTATTTAAATGTTTATTTCATTATAAATTTGAGTAATTGTAAATTTTTGGAAAAAAGAAAATTGCCTTTGCTTACAATTAAGTAGTGGATTTAAGCGCGTACTCACCTCTTTCGTATTAAAATATAACGATAGTGCACTGTGTGTCGGCAGACGCCGGTGTTATGGTTCACTGTCCAGCGAGGAAGAGCAGAGGTCACCGGAGCGTGGTGCTTACGGCGCGGCCGGGCCGGCACTGACGCGAGGCGGGCTCGCGATCCCGCCGCTCGACGCTTGCTCGGGCGGCCGTCGGAGGCTTCGCGGCGGTCGAGCTTTCAGCTACACAAGACCACGCACTGCACACTGCACTCGCCTTGTCTACCCACGCGTTGCGATTCCCTCGATCGTCTAATGTTCCGCGCGCCCGACGCACGTTTGAACTCTTCGCAGCACCCGCTTTACCGTATAAATATGAAGCCTGGTGGCGGGGGCTGACGTCCGGCGGCGACGCATCGCGAATCTACATCGGCATAAATTCAAGATGCAGTCAGTGTCCTCCTCGCTGATTTTATTACTTATCTGTCGAATGATTAGACCAAACCCTCAGTCGTGTCACGGACATGGCTAATGCCTTGTTACAGACGGTACGAGTCCAGTGTTCATTCAAACAACTGTTATGTAATAAAGTTGTGATGGTTATTATGAGAGAGAACGGCATTAACTGTTTATGTTTGCAAAGCTTATTAAGTTCATTAATTTATACTACAATAAGAGTATCACAAAATAGCTAGTTCTAGTAAAGTTGTGAAAATAAATTTTCTTTAAAAAGTGCTCCAGATTATAAAAATTACTCTGAAATGATTAAGCCTAATTAATGCAATCTTCATATAGATAAACCATTGACCAACCAAAACACAGTTCCACATCACAGCTAGTAGCCCCGCCATCAAATCTTCTATATAAATCTTACAGTGTAGATTGTTAGCATTTGCTCTTTTGGAATATACGGTAATGATTCAAGTAAGAAAGGTTTGATATGTATGTTACTTACACCTTCCTCTGACCTTATCAGGAAACTGAATCGACAAACTGATCCGCATCTTTTTAAGACATTCATACCCATTTTCACTAACCTAGAACAAGGCTGTATTTTTTTGCATGCAAAAATATGTATTTATTTTTTGGACAAATAAATAAATAAATAACTAGGAAATGCTTAATATTAAGAATTGCCTAAGCAGATTAGTTTAATTTCAATTAAATATTTTTTTCTTTTATGCCTTGACATATTTATGATTTTTCATATACGCAAATACCTAGCGCAACGCGCCATATTACGAATATCATATCTTTAGACATTGCTTAATTTCGTTTGGTTCCTAGTCAATGGTAAAATGCAATTTTACCTTAGACGATTCCTAAATATTTAGGCGACAGATATGGGCGACTCTTAAGTTAGTGAACATGAGCATTAGACCTCTCTAACTGGCTTAAGAAAGATGAGGAGGACTGTCTTTATTTTTGTGTATACACCAAGTTTAAAACTGTTGTATTGAATTCATGAAAATACTTATGAATCAAATCAAATAATTTGCTTATCCAATTTGAAAAAATAAATATCCTATATCGTTTTCGGGAAACTTTTTTGAAAAATATGGTTTAAAATCCTCAGAGGGCCTAGCTATAGGGGAAACCTTATGCCCACGCAAAAGGGACATTAAAACGCTTATAATAAATACATTACAATATAAATACATTAACTTTGAAAATTCTCAGAAATATGTAGGGGAAAATATTGCTCTTATTTAGGGTATGAGGGCAGTTTACACATTTTTTGTTCCTTCAAAATACCAAACAAATTGGTATATAAGAAAGTTTAAGAATTGTACTCTATAAACCAACCAATTGTTTACTAACGACTTCATCGTTCGCTGTCCTACTCTATGACATTAAAAATACGTAAGTAAGAGCAGGACAGACGACGAAAAAGTCCATGATATGCCGAGTCAAATTTAAAGAGTACACGGCCTGGTTAAGTAGTTATTCAACTATATGTGTCAGTAATATCTACGGATATTGTGTAAAGGAAAAAGCCGCTAGGAAATAAGAAGAATCCTTTGATGTTTAAACTGTACCCAGTTGTGCTCTAGACAAACTAAGGTCAAATGAAGATAAACACTTGCAGTTTGTGTGTAGAGTATATTTTTTTATCTATTCTAATATAACTATCAAATCAATAAGTCTTTTGTTAACGTCTGGCTGGAAAACTTCCACTATACCTACACAGTTTTATTTTCTTTTTGTGGATTTGTGTTATCATCGCATATGTAACAACTAAGTTTAATTCAAAAATTGTCTATATGATACTTTTAACCTTTTTGAGTGAATTTCCAATAAGGTATAGAAGCGATTGAATCATGTACAAAAGATTGGAAAATTTTATCATCAAGATAATGTTATTCAATCAGTTCTGGTACTACAAAAATCGTACAACTTCACATGACGAGTCAAATAAAATTGTACAGTATAACAATTCATTTTTATAGACTATAATCATTAGTCATTATTTGCCATTTCTGAAATAAATCGTTAGCAATGGTTGTTTTTCTCTGCTGAAAACTTTTATTAAAGGGTATTTGTGTCTAAGCTACGATATTTAAAAAGTTTCTGTCTATGATGTGTACCTATCTCGTCTTGTCATATTCATATTTTCTGTTAATAATATGTAGTTATAGATCCTTCTTTCATATTCCACATCTTTTATATCTACGTTATAGGGTGAACATGAATTAGCGAATAAGTAGCAAGTTATGAACTATGAATAACATCTAATTAATTATATCCACACCTATAATCATCAAATGAACACGTTAGTCTTGTTTAACTTCGAGCTACTATATACGTTCCACCTGTTGGTTTTTTTATATATATATTTGTGTAAAACAAAGATTTACATAAATAACGAATCTGTTAGTTTCTTCGTATATAGTTCCTATGTATAAACTTATAATAAAATTAATTTGATTGTACTATCTATTTGTATCTGGCTAGTTTAAATTATTAAAAAAAGAAATATATTGGTGCATTCAACCAATATGGTTCTTTTTAATTTTCAATTATATATAACTTGTTTTCTATAGGTTGAAAAAAGGATTGGAGCTACCCATGTCGCGAGAAATAACTATGAGTAAAAATAGCACAAAATATGGTATTTAAATCAGTGAATTTTAATGCTACACGTTTTGATAATCCTGCATAACTTTAAAGGGATGACATTTTTGAAAACAAAATGTACATAGATATTTCAATACGCAGTATAGTTGAACAAGTTAAAAATTGATCACGAAACAGTATTGACCCATTTGAAAAAAGCTGCGTACACAAAAAGGTCGATATTTGGGAGCCACACGAGTTCACGAAGGAAAACTAATGAACAAAGGAATATTTGTGAATACGTCATGAAACCGAAGAATTTTCGCTTGTTAAATGGTGAAAACTGGATCACATATTACAAAAACATACGAAAAACGTCGTGGTAAAAGGTTGGTTAGACTTTACAGACTATGAGTTAGCCGCATGTAAAAAAAACTGATTACTAGTAGTAGAAACGGCTCGTGAAAAGTATATTATGCTTTATTGGAGTGGACGGTAAATGCACGGTGAGTTTTTGGTTTAATCGTCTTCAAGACGTCGTCCTAAAAATGAACCAACCACTTAAGTTAAGGGTAAAACGATATCGTCTCAAAACAAAGTATTACCGGTAAGGTTTAACGTTAGTAGGTATACCCACTATTGACCAATGTGTAACATATTAAAAAAATAAAATAAAAATCGGTGACTCATGATTTGAATGATCTGCAGAGAGCAGCCGCTTATTGAAACTTGTCTACCTTGTTAAACCAGTACAGAAATGAAGGGATTTTGATTGAATTGTAGCGTATGACGAATAGTGGACGATAAATAGTATCCGGACAATACAATGAAGAACCCCAGGAGTAATAACTACATACTACATAAATGCTCTAAAGCAAGGCTTTCCTATAGAAAGATATTGGAGAGGTGTTTGTCTGACAGTTTATAATTAAATATAGTTTCCACGAAACTGGCCGGCCAATGATGACAACATGATGTCTACAGTATGAAACTCTGATCAATGAGTGCGGAACCTGAAACTAAAAAGCACTGACTAGTCAATCAATCGTCACTACTACGCCATGATAACGTAAGACATGAAACAGCAAAATCTGTTGTCTGATGTCGTTGGTAATCTTCCGCAGTTGCTGGATCTCACCCAACCGACGGCTCACGAGAAAAACAAATACATTTATAAAATTTGTAAAATAATGCATATTAGGTAATAACAAATATCAGCTTTACAGATAACCGAAGTCGAAATGACGAATTCCTACTGAATTAATAACAATAGTCTGCTGTTGGGTCTTAAATTTTACCGAGCCAAAACGAAACTTGAGCTCGTCATCGTTGACCTGCAGGCCAACATCAGTAACACAAAGTCTTACGAAATGAAAAAAATGAGGCGAAGAGAAGGGACTAAAAACTTGTCCCTAAGCTATGGCTCAGAATCATGGATCTTGGAAAAAACGATTGCATCAACGCCTTTGGGATGTGGTGTTGGCACCACAATCGAAGGATATTAGGATGACTAATATGAGATAGACAGGTGTTGACTACGATACACCATCAGTATATATATCTTGCTAAGAGTATAGTTGAATTGTTTGTTTTCGAATTTACATGTAACCTCAAAACAAAATTCTGCCGTATATTATTATGATATACTGATATATGAACTGATTACAGATTCTCAGAGTACTTAGCTATAGAACTCTGAGAATCTGTAACACTGGTCGACAAAAAAACACCTTTTGTGTGTAACATGACTTTTATCTAGATATGTTAAGGACAAGGATAAGGATAGGTAATAGAAATAAAATTAGAATGCTTCAAATACGAATAGTTTTTTGTAATCTGATATTATTAACATTTAAAAAATTTCAGATTTTATTCACGAAAATAAGTTATTTTACCATATTACAACATTTATTTAACTAAAGCTTTATTATTTTCTTTTGTATTTTGCTTCACGGACATTTCGTTGTAATCTGCTAGCATACGTGGACTTCACTTGACCTGGTATCGTTTTTCCATGGTAGAAATGTCTTGATGGAATCTTTCACCATGTTTATCGCTGACGGCGCCCAAATTTTCAGGAAAAAGGTCTAAATATGAATGAAGGAGTACTTTCATAAAAGATTCCCAAATAGATTTTTCCAAATCACTGAGCTTTTGATTTCATTTGTGGGCCAACAAAGACGGGCTCTTTAATTTTTGCCTCGCTCAGTTTAGGAAACTTTTCTTTCAAATATAAAAAGTCGTCACCACTACTGTCTATAGCTTTCACGAAGTTTTTCATGAATCCAAGTTTTATGTGTAAAGGTAGTAAAAATACATTATCAAGCTGCATCTATGGAGGATTTTTCATTTTTTTTGTCCTGGAGTGAGAGATAACCTTTTTTAATATAATGATTTTTTCGATCCCTACTGTCCCATTCACAAATTAAACAACAGTATTTTGAAAGCCCAAACAAATGTTCTGCCTGTGTTTAGACAAATTTAAGTCACGTACCAAATCATTGAGATCTTGAGATAGTAGATGTACCTCTTTACATGAAGAAACTTCTTGAAAGTCAGGATCTAATGTGTCGTTTTCCACTGTTACTGGCGTAGTGGTCAGATCGGAACTTTTTGGTGGTTCTGGTACAGGGACTTTCTCACTGTGAGGGATCGGTCTTTTAGCAGATGGCACTTAACTCAAAAAACAAAACAAACTCTATACTTTTGAAATAAATAAAATTTCTGAATGCAAAAGTGGAACAAATATGATTAATTTTCAATTTTACGGGTAGTAGCTGTAACATAAAAACTAGACCTGATGGAATCAAAATAAATATGGTGATAAAATGAGGATAGATAGGTAATTCAAAAATCGTAAGTACCTATCTTGTTACAAAATTTTGTTGACCAGTGTAATCAACAAAACAAAGCTTCCGGTTAGATGGCAACTTTGCGACACACCATGACACATTTTAATTAGTATTTTGTAGCTCCTGATAGTGTCTTCATTATGTATATTTTTATTATTATTTTGGTCTTTTTCTGTCATATTTATAAAGTTTTTTAAATTATTTATGTGGTGTGTGCTTCCAAATAAAAACCTATTTCATTCTATTCTAAATACAAATCATTAGACAATACCCATACATCTCATCCATTCTCATCAGATTCCTAATTAGGAAGCTAAAGCACTCGTATTACAGAAATCTGAAACAACAAAGATACAATCGATTCTCGCACAATCGCTATAACTTTGAAAGGGATTGCAATAGATTATAAAATTAAACATTTAGGTAGTGGATCTTCTTCTTTGCGTAAATAAAGCCTGTGCCACCTACATATGATTTTGCTTTTGAATATCATTCCTACAAACAGACAAATTAGAAACTTTACCTCTTCTATAATGTTAGTATAGATTACATATGACGTATAATGGAGATGTACTTGTATTATGCATTATGGAAATCTGAAAAAACAACACAACTAGACATGTAACACAACTAGACCATATTCATTAAAATTTAATTTTCTACATTGAATCGATCAGAAAATAAACCTTAGAGGTAACGAGATTTAGAAACCAGGTTCTAATCCTCGGAAGTTGTTGGCCACAAAGGAAAAAAAACGAAGTCAATGCAAACTGTATGAAGATCACTTAGTTACACAATTAGAAGAAATGTTCCTAAAATTCTAAGTTCATTTCACCTTTTACGAAATTCCAGTGATGATAAGTGATAACACTCGTTTTTAATGACATTTTAAATAAATTCAATTATAACAGTGACTTTAGATTATAATATGAAAACATCTTTTTTCGTGAAAAATAAAATCTACCTTCGATGTACGAAACGAATATAACTAACAGACGGAATTTCGGTGTCTGTCTAAACACATTTTAAATAGAAAGCAACTTAATAGAAATATGGCAAAAATCCTCCTTCCTTTTTAATTAAAGGAAAATGTAACAAACATAATAAAAATGATTCGGGAGTCAATGGAGATTTCTGAATCTAGCCACTGTTGACCTTTAGAATTTTGAGCTTTAGATCAATCTAGAAAGAAACACCGAAACTGTGGGGCTAAAATTTAGCAATCAAGTTAAGTCTAACCAAAACATTAGATATTGACTTTTCAACATCATGTCAGGCTATAGAAACCTGTCAAATTTCTTCGCCGATTTTAAACCTTAATTATTTGAGGATAGTATTTAAAATGAATTGGAGTAATTTAACATATTGTGGTAACTTGTCGTGCAGCCGTACAGATAATAAATTTAAAAATATAAGTATTATTGAAGTTAAATATGCTTAAAGCATATAATTAAAATTATTATGAGACAATCATCTTCCCAATCTAGTTAGTGAACATGGCACTAGCGAACGATCAGAAACGTCATAAAATATATAATATATATTTTTTAAACCAACATGCAATTAAAGTTCTTTAATGAAAAATGCGTAAAAAACCAAGAGTCCTAGATACCCCGAGATGGGTAAAATTAATAAACTATAACATTTAAAAGCTGTTATATTTAATGAGCAGGCACGTTATAATTTAAGATATAAATACTTATTTTATTGTTTTGTATATTTTTCCTTTTTCTAACATTATTTTTAATAAGATGCAATGACCGAGTTCAATGCAGCTGGCGCCACCTGCTTCATGTCTGCGTACAGATCTGACGATTACGACTGTATGCGAAAGGCTCGCGCACGCGTAGATTATATGGTATGATATCTCCGCACATTCTAAGCACCGTTCGTGAACTGTGCTGAGACTGCTTAAATGCATAGTCCGACATAATGAAATGCCACTATATTAAGGTGTAATTTAATAAAGATATGGCTTAAACTACATACTTCTCATAATAATACGTGCGCGAGAATCTTATGGAGTTTTGCTATGGATTCACACAAATGAATTGAAATATGCGTGTTGCACGCACGCATCAGTTAACGACTCATTTACTTAACAGTTTTATTTCTAACTAGTTTTCCGCCAACGGCTTCTCCCTGGAAGTTATCCCAATTTCGCAAAATTTCTCATTACTACTCACTCCTGTAGCGTGATGCTATCATGTTTCGAGAATATTTTTACTTCATATGATAACACAGTGTTTAATATTTAATACTCCACAGAAGTCAACTGAAATTAGTAACTACCTGCAATATTTTCAAGAAAGCGATAAAAGTATTTCTAACGATGCTCTGTTGATTGCATCCATAGATAGCGTCATGAATTCGTGAGTTGGCGCCACACGCAGAATTATTACAATATGAAATCGGACATTAAGAAAAATAAGGTATTATCACTGGGAGATGAACATATACAGTATTTGTCAAAAAGCATTTATGCTAATTGGAAACACTTGCCGAACAACCCCTACTCCATAATCGCAATAGTTAAGCCCAAATCAACATGCTCCCAAATAACCCGTTACCGCCCGCCGTACACGCTTGTGTACACTCATTTGAAATTTTGTTTCACCTGCATTGTCTATGATTTCCCGGTAAGTCATTTATGTTTTACAATCTTAATAACTAGTGATGCTAGTTATTATTTAAAAAAATATGAGGGTAGCACGAAAATTAATGTGACATAATTTACTTTCTAAAACTGATTGTACTCGTCAGTGATAAGGAAAGAATTGATTATATTTTAAAATTACAAACAAGTGAGTTTTTCATTATTTTACAGAATAGATAGAATAATTGATTGGTATTCCAACTTACCTATATTTTCAACAACTTGCTTGCAGCTGAAACGAAGTATCGAAAATGGCGAAGTGAAACATTTTCTCTAACAGTAACAACTATGCCGGCCTTGGTGAAGCTATAGAAGCTATAATGGAAGAGGAAATCGATCACTATGAGTTTGATATGGTGTAAAAACCCCAGAACCCGCTGCTGTAACGGACGAAGAAGAAGGAAACGATGACTATTTTACTTTGTCAACACTTCTAAGGGACATACCAGTTACTATAGAGTTTGATGTACGCCAACCAGCTAACGATATATCGGACAGTGATAATAATAGTGGCGATGAGCCCCTTGCCAACTATATTAGGCGGTCAAAGCATCCGAGGAATAGCGACTCTGATCTACCTGTGTGGAGAAAAATGCTATCTATGTATAGAACGGCCTATGATATAACTGACGTTGTTCATAAAAGACGAAAAACTATTATGGAGGCATTGCAAAATAGTACTCCTATTATGTTGTTTGAAAATATATCTGATGATGATGTTATAAGTATAATGATGTTAAAACATTACACAGAACAATATCTTGTATGCAGGTCAAAATAATAGACTTGATTTACCTCAATAATGCTAAACTAAAAAAATATATAGGAATTCTACTGTTATCTGGGCATCACAAATTGCCTAATGAGCGTGCTTATTGGAGTTTGGATGAAGATCTCGGTATTCCACTGAACATAAATAGCATGTCTTGTAACAGATTTTTAGAAATCAAGTGAATTCTACACCTTTTTGTTAATACTCAAGCTGCAGGATCAAAAGATAAGATGTTCAAGGTAAGAAGCTTATGTGATCTCATACAAAGAAACTTTGCAAGGGGGAAATTTTCTATAAAAATTTGGCCATAGACGAATCAAATCAAATATTTTGACCGCCGTCATGCTAAACAATATATCATTGGAAACGGTTTTTGCTACTCTTTTCGCATTAATTGTAATAAGTCTGTAGAGCCATCCGAAAATACACTTGGCACAAGAGTAGTAACTATCCGCAATATATGTAGCCTATGTATATGTCATGGCCCATCCTCCTTAACCATCCATAGGGAAGGCCTAAGCCTCTGCAGTGGGGACGTAAAAGGGCTGATGATGATGAAGAGTAGTAAAATCTTTGCTCGAAAAGATGACAATGGTCCCAAATGAGCATATCGTATACTTTGAACTTTTTCACCAACTATCAGTTGCTGCGTGATTATGTTTATTAGGATATAGAGCTGCGGGTACAATACGCAAAAATGGAATAAAATAATGTCCAGTTAATGCTGTAAAAGTGATGAATGTACACCAAGGATTGAATACGGCTACGGATTTGATAAAAGTAAAGAAATAACCATCGTACGCTGGAAAGACAGATGTTATCACAATGGGGTTTAAAATACGCGACAATATGTAACAGAATAAAAAGGCTTATATGACAAAATTAAAGAGTTCATGCATAAATGACCAGAATAATATAATTAATAATTAAAGAAGTTTAGGCAGCGAGAAGGAACGATGTAAGGGAAAAATAAAAGAACATAATAATATGAATAATTAAGTACAAGATGCATGAAAGCGAGAACTGGTACGGGTTTTCCATATCTTTGTATGAATTTGTACGGCACTCCGTTACTATCCACTCCGGGAGCACCACAATCATGCAAAATATGAGCAACGAAAATTCTGATGACGTCAAAAGGATTTCTTCCATAGGTCATCGATACGCTAGATATAGCTTACAGCGTGCTGCTTTTAGATAGCAATAGTTTTGCCCATACTGTTGCAATCAATAAAAAAAATATTTCATATTGGATTGCTTTATCAGATAGACCATTTATCAACGATAACACTGATCAACACTCAAAAATTTTTCCGTTTTTGGTTTAATTTTTAATTAAAGTTTCAAATCTATTGACAGCATAAAAATGAAAAAGTATGTTTCTTTACAAACATTATTTGAAACAGTTGCTGCGATTGAAAAAATAAGTTTAATAAGATTTTAGTGAATGGTGCATCAACAGTAGTAAGTCAACAATAGGTCCCACCTTCGGTAACGGTTCTTTGGTAAGGTTTTTTCATTAGGCGAATATCCTTGTTATCTACAGCAGATGAAGACTGTAGTATTAACAAAATTAAGGGATTAAAGATATAATAAAAAAAATGTGTAAAACACACAAGATACAATAGATAGAGAGCAATAGCAAAAACACAATAAATGACAAAAATCATATTCAAATTAAAAAAATATAAAAACACAATTTTTTAGAAAATTGTGTTTTTTCAAAATTGATTAGAAAGTTTTGGCTTTTGGAATAAACTGATATTATGCTTTATATACAGTTTACCAGCACGTGTCATCAGGCTATACCAAACTGTCAAATTTCTCCACTTGATTTTAAACCTTACACATTCTAGTTAGAGTTCAAAATCCAGAATAAGGATAAGGAAATATGATATATTGTGGTATCTTGACGTGCAGCCGTGTGCACAATGAACAATTTAATACAGATTGCCCACTGCAAAATTTTGTATGAATTAAATAATTAAAATTCCTATTAAGTATTTTGTAATTTCTGCCAAATTATTTTTAGAAACAGACTTCTCAGTTCTTTGTGCTGTGAGACGCCAGCTATTTGAAATATCGAACAAATAGTTCAATTTAATTGATTATTCTTTTGTGGCCCTAGATTTTTTATTTGGTGTAGCGGATGAACTCCTATTAGGTATAACGGATATTACCTAGCGAAGTATATTCTCTGTAATGTATATTCTCCATGATAGGGTTGACAATTTCTTTTGCTCACGCCTATGAAGTGACGAAGTTGTTTACTAAATCATCATACAGATATAATGTTATACTTCATTGATTGAGACACCGTCCCCTTAGTGATGTGCCACGTCGCATGATGAAGGACAGTACGTTACCAAAAATTGATAGATTGATATTAAGGCTGATTGATATTGATATTGTCGGCTTCAATTATTTAACGGGGGTGACCCAAATCCTGTGTTCAACATACATAATGGTGACGAAAGCTGAATTCTGGACTGGACATGCAATTGAATTTCTCCATGCAATAAAGGTGGCCGTCTTATTATATAGCTTTTTTACCAATTAGTTGCGACCTTAAATCGCAGTTAACTGCTTAAATGATACTTGCTTACTCTTTGATTGTCGAAAGATGCAAAGAAATGTACAATTTAAAACATCTAAAATATGTAAATATACAAAGATGAGACATAATTTGGGAAGAATAAGATTAATAATGAGACAACCAAATAAGGCCCAATTTAATTTTACTTTTGTAATTACTTACCGTTTTCAATTTCTTTTTACTGAATTAATGTTTTTATCGTGGATCATAGTCACTCGTGGTTTAAATATAAAAAAATGAATTCGACGTCGTTAATAGTACAATCAATCTAAATCCAATACATTTTAAAACCGTTTAAATACGAATATTCAGTAAAAATTTACGAATATGCCCAGTCAAATAAATCCATATCAACACACCCGGTTGATGGTGTTAATTGGCCATAAAGCTCCACGCTGTCTTAATGCGGATTAGAGGGTTATTAACTCTTGGATTGACTGGTACAGAATGCCTACTGGCATTAAGTCCGCTAGTTGTACGCTTTATTTGTGCAAAGAAGTTTAAATTATTTATTTATTTAAACTTCTTTGTAAAAACCTATTTCTTTGCTCCCTTTCCTATTGTTTTGAGATGTCAAAACTGACAAACGGTACTATATTGTAAATACGTTTGACGTCATCAGCTTTATTCTGATGACAAAACTGCTATTAAAAATTCCTATGCTGTCATCAGCATACGATTCCGGCGTCAAAACTAACAGACGCATTTTCATAGAAGCATGAAAAATGCGGTTGCAGTAGACGCATAATACCGGAAAATTTTTCTAATGCAATGCGTGACGTGCGGCCGGTGCATACGTGCTGAGACAGACGACGACTACCCTTAATGTAACCTTATGATATTTGACATAGAACTGCCAAAATGCGTGCTGCAAGATTTCATAGTTAAGACAGGACAACATCTGTCGGGTCAGCTAGTACGAAATAAGAATTATGAACAAATATTTTTTAGAGGAGGACAATGGTAAAAGTTTTTAAATACCTACAACACTTATCTCTTCCGTCCCGGTAGGTTAATTCTATTAATGTTTATGTGATAATTGCATCTCAATTGAATCTCGATTACTTGCATTTTAACATTGTACCATTCACCTAAAGTCCAACGTAAATATTATTAGTGCAACGTCTTCCTCTCAACTCAATGTAAAATTGGTAAATTTGTATCTACCTAACTCAATGTAAAAT